TGAGTGTGGGTTGAATCCAATACTCAGAACTTATGAGCACTCATGAGTGTTGTAGCACAACTTTTTCCACCAACTGGAACCTCTAGAAGCCAACTCATGACAGTCTTGATTCATATCTACTTCCAACATATGACCGACTGTGGATGGTTTGAATAACTTAGTCATTCCGGAAGAATAACCTAGTTATTATGGAAGTCAAAACATGCAAAGTGAAACACAAGAATAAATGAATCTAATATGGTATTAAAACCTATGAATATAAATAAAACACTTTCTATTTATCACCATACTGATTACTCATTATTCATTGTTTTGGTTTTATCAACTTTATACTTGAATTAAAACACTAGGTGTCCCATGCTCCAAGCATGTACACTATGTTTTCTAAACAATAGCTTTGCCATACACCAAGTATGAACTTTATATTTATCTATGATCCTTACTATGTGAACTAGATTGATTGAACATAATTTCAATGATTCTCTTTTCACACTTCTAAATCCTTCTCGTAAATGTAAGAATTCCTAACATTTATCGAAATATGTTTAGATTTTAAACTTATATGCACTGTTCCTCTAGTAATGATTATGCACAAAGCCACAAAGACTTGGCAACAATCATTACAGAGTATTCCAATGGAGATCAATTCCATGGAAACGATGTCTCAAATTCAAAGCGCATTGCTTTGAACATGCTTCTTGCATTAAGTTTCTTTAACCTTATACATATTGCTCCCACCTATAAAGACAACTCTATATTCTCATTTTGACTACCACTTCTGAACAAGAGTTGCCTCTTTTCAGACTATGTCAATATGGTCCTTCCAATATTAACATTATACTTCCAACTATCCTTCAGCAACCAATCTTTGCTAAACCTTAGATTGTCCTCGACAATTGCTTAATCACTTTAGTCATATCTGATTCTAGACATTTTTCTCCTAAATGCAAGGCATTTGGAAAATTCAGAAATGATAAATATTATAGCACATGTAATTGATCTTGTACCCAAAGTAAATGGGACACGATTCATGATGTTTCACATAAAGAAATGGTTCTAGACCAGTCTTTTTCCATAATAATTTTTGTTTGCCATATTCTCAAAATTTGACTATGAAAAGGGATATCGTAATCATAATCGAATTTTGTGAACGCAATATATAGAATTTTCATAAGTTGAACCAATCCAACATGAAATTCATATATATATATATATATATATATATATATATATATATATATATATATATATATATATATATATATATATATATATATATATTCTTGACTAAAGGTGATTAAAATCTCAATATAAGCTCTTTAGAATGATTATAAACTCAATCTAAGTTTTTTAAAATTGAAATGAAGTATAATTTCCTCTCCCTTAATTATAGCAAAACAACTTTTTCAACCCCTGTAACCTCACGAATTGAAACTTTTGTTTTCTATAATTAACAATGCTAACTTGCAATATTTATCATAATTATCATGCTCCCACTAACATGATGATTATTAGCATAACACTTATGATCCCACTAGATATGACATATATCCAGAAAACAGCTGGACCTCTAGAAGTCAATACTTTATTGACTTCTTACCAAAGTTCATATTTTTGATACTAGATTACTTTGATAAGACTTTATCAAAATCATACACCTTATCTTAGATAGCTCACAAGTGTGTCTAAACAGTTTCAAAACTATGAAAAGGGATGCCATAATCATAGTCTCAATTGTTTAGACTTTTTGCCATTTCTCATAAGTCAATGTTAGTGTGCCGGTTAACCACGCACACTCCACTAACGACTTTGAGAACTGTAAATATCACAATTGCTATCTACTTAAAGTCTACTTAGTGAAAAAAATTCCTCACCATCATTTTCAAGAATCGGAGAGATACCTTATGACACTTAGATTTTATGGTGTATGTGTTCTTATCCACGTGAATTTGTCAAAACCATAATCGCAAGACTAGGTTAGTGACAAATCCTAACTCATATGGATTAAACTTGTGCAATCTTAACCTCTTGCCACCTAGCAGCACAAGGGCCTGCCATTGCTTCCAAGTAGTTATGCAAACAATTGAGAACATGTAGAACTCAAATATATATATATATATATATATATATATATATATATATATATATACACACACACACACACACACACATAGCCAACTTAACTGGAATGGGCACAAAAATGTCAACACGATAGGTTATAAACCTCTAGTTGTGTGCTAGCGATGAAATACAGGTTTTTATTCTTGATTAGTACTTGAAACTATATCATGATCTTTTAGACTTCCACTGTCTTCTTGACCTATAAGACTTTCTTGCTAAATATTCAAGAAGTAGTATGGATTCTTAATCAAGACAAACACTTCACACAATTGGCCTTAGTTGGTCTTTGTTTTATCCAAAACATCACAACTTACCAATTTCAAATGTAAGAGTATTACATTTGAAAAGTGCTTTAAACCTTCTTTAAGACATCTCACTCAAGTTACAATCTTAGAGTATAACTCTAAGAATTGTTTTTGGAACGAAGTATGAATCATCTTCTTGATTTAACCACTTCAACAGTTCATAATCCCTCTTCTTAACTATCAGAATGCACTTAGAGGATGAATTGTGATAAGGTCTCAAAATCATTAAGATGATCTTAAAACATGATACTAAAGTACTCTCCCATCTTTCTAAATTTGAGAAACTTTTATCCTTCTGCCTAATTTGATTCTTCTTATTCGTTCTGTCATACGTTGGAACTTTTCAATGTCTCAGAATTATACTTAAGCTTGTAAGTATAATCATATTTACTAAACCTTAGTAAATCATGATGAATAGTCTTATCCATCTTTTGTGGTGAACTTTGGCTAGTGCACAAGAATGTGTACTTGATCCCTTAGTCCTTCTCTTGAGTAAGATATACATGTGAACACGGAACTAGTCTTAATTTTCCAAAGTTGAAAATTCTCATACATCACACTAAACACCTTGTATGATCCCTTAGTCCCTTTACTTGATCCTGCTAAATATCAAAATGCAACCAAGTCACATTTTGGTATTAAGAATCACCAAATGGGAACTTAACAGAGATAGATAGTGGACTTACCTGAAGCATAGTCAAACTTTTGATTCTTCTTTCTTTCAGGTAGCTTGGATACCTTCGCTTCCAATGCCCCTTTTCTTCACACTGAGAACATATAGACTCTTTGGGAATGGTACACAGGCTATTCCGGACTTAGACTTTCTCTTTACCTTCCTTTCAACCATGTTGACCAAGGCTGATCCCTTTCCATTGGGAAGAGAAAGTTTTTCTGAACTTCCAATGTCACCATTGTCCATGTCCATGGAAGGTTTGAGAAATAAACCTTCCATCCATGTTTGCTTGACTACTGTACCAAATCAACACTGATGCATCAGCAATAAGCAAATAAGAAAGATCCATTAGGGTCATGTCGTGATCTGTCACATAGTAGTCTTTCTATATGACTTGGGAAGTGACTGAAAGACCCAGTTAATAGCCAACTTCCTTGGGACAATGACACCCAACATTCTCAACATGTAACTGTGTGACTTCAGTCCTAAGACATGAGTGCACACATGACTTCCAATTTTATGTTTTATTGTGAGTAGGGATTGAGTGATCTTGAACTTTTCAAGTCCTTAAACTTGTGGGTCAGGGAGAATAATTGGAGGAGGTGGAGGAAGAGAAGTATGACTTCCATGAGCCAAACTCAAGAAGTCATATTCATTAGGAAAGCTTGATTTAGGAAGATCATTGTTGTCTAAACCAAACATTAACAATGGGAGATATTCAAGTAAAGTTGATTTAAGTCCTTAATATAACACCCAATATAAAATATTAAGGCTAGGACCCAACAAACTATTTTATAACTTGGAAGAGGGATGTCGTAATCCAAGCTATAAAATATTTGAAGGTAGGTGAATGACGATTCACCAATTTCCACCAAGATAAATGAAATGTATTATTAGGTTTTAATTGGTTTTGAAAGTCCTAGATTCTTTTGAGATTCATTGAACTTGTCAATGGCATGTTTCAATCTCGAGTGCGCCCTTCAGGTTTTGTGACTGGGATGCCTAGGATCACAAAACATGGTGTGAAGTAACCATGCAAATGTACTTGGTACCCTTAATATTTACCCCTCAATCGATGTGTCAGTTAACCACACACGCTCCACTGATACTATGATAAACATTAAGTTACCCTTTTCCTACCTTTTTAAATCCACGTTAGTGTGCCGGTTAACCACACACACTCCACTAACGGCTTAAACAAAGTGTAAAGTGTAATTTCATGGATTAGCACCTTATTCATATTTTCCTAAGTAACTAAGATTGGGAATTTATAAATGTTTAGTTACTTAGTATTTATCATTAATACTTTTAATGAAGGGAGAATTATAGTCCTTGTCCTACCCGTTCGGCTAACGACCCTCCACCAGTCAAGGAAGCGGTGGGTGAGAGTGGATACCCATTAAATTGCCATTTTATAGGCAGTAACCGTATACCGCCCCCCCCCCCTATAGACCGGCTTCGTTAATGAGGCCTACTAATGGTAAGACGACTTTTTGTTATTATACATATATAAATATTATTAAAATTATAATATTATAAAGTATAAGGCACTACAAGAAAAATACCCTTTAATGACGTGCAAACAACGACACTCGCAGATTTAGGATACGCATTCTTGCGTGTCCATAAAAACAATGCCAGGTTTCCAAAAACTGAAGGATAGAGGACACGTATTTTGGCGTGCCCTTAGATTAGTGTTTAAAAAAACACGGAAGGCACCTAGCGAAAAAAAGGGTGTCCTCTAAAGGTGTCGTTTTATATTTTTTAATGAAGGGGCACGTTCTCCAATTTTTTTTCATTGCCAGGAAATGAAATCTCAAAAAATTAAACACCCCGCCATTTATCTCCTTCTTCTCCTTCTACAATCCTCTACCAATGAACCTAATAGAATTGTGAGGGAGATGGGGGCATCTCTAACCTTCGCTTCTGCTCAGCCTCTTGCATATCATTCGAGAGGAGCTTACAGTAGCAAAGAAATGGCAGACTCATTGGTACTCCGCAGCACGATGAGGGCCCACACCGATTGGGTCATTGCAATCGCCACTCCAATCGACAACTCCGAAATAATAGTCACCTCTTCTCGTGACAGATCAATCATCGTTTGGCGCCTCATGATGCAAGACAAAACCTATGGTGGCGCACATCGCCGTCTCACCGGCCACTCTCACTTTGTTCAAGACGTCGTTCTCTCATCCGACGGCCAGTTCGCTCTATCCGACCACTCTCCCTCCTTTCTCTCTCTCTCTAACCCTAGACACAGCCATTAACCTTCGTCGGAGCTATCTTCTTCTCCCCCACTGCCACCAACAAACCACAGCCTTATTCATTACCCTAAAAACCAGACTAATCTTTCACCTCTCTTAATCTCTCTCATAACACTTAGGTTTTTGGCAATGAAAAAAATCGTCCCCTACTCCATTGACGTGTTCTAATTTCTTATTGTATCTAGGTTAAAATCAACCATTGCAGCAGAGCATCTTCTCGTGTAGTGTTTATCAGGTCGAAATGAAGTAGTTTTGGAGGATTAAAGCCATGGAGATACAGTTTCAACTTCTAAAATACAGATACAATTTCAACTTCTAAAATCGGTAGGGTATGTGATGGATTAAATCCATTGAGAGTCTGCCCTTTTCTTTGAGAAATTACATTAATATTCTCCCTGAGCATGTCGATTCCACAATCTTCTGGTGACTCTTCCTTTTTCTTTCTCTAGTTGTTTTCTGAAATTTGGGGTTTTCTTCCACTTCACGTTCAGAAGTATTTTAGTGATGATAACTGAGAAGTAGGCTGATTTCCTCATCGTTTCCAGAACAGGTCAGAAGAATATGTGACTAACGAGTTTCTGCAAGTCCAAGAGTAAGTGATTCTTCCAAACAAAAAACCTCTCCCCTTATCCAGTTACACTCAATGATTTCATCTAGGCTTTTTGGATTCTCAGATCAAGAGCATTCTCATGGCTTCGTGGTCAAAATCTTGTCTTTATTCCAATAGCAGACTTGGTAAGCTCTAAAACCGTTGTTTTTCACAATATGGTTAATTTCCAAAATGCCCTTCATAGCGTTCTTTCCTGACATATACGTACATAAATTTCAAACTAATTATAGCCGTAGTATAAATAAAGAAGATTATGCATATGAGATCAAATGGGTTTAACTATTCTCCAGTGATCAAATATTCTCTTTGAGAGGTCAAATATCGGTCAAGGATGGTCAACAGGTGAGTCAAACCTGTCACATTCAAGATTCAAGTTTCTATAGCTTCTCCCTCATATTTTAACATTATGTTGTTACTGAAATTGCGTATAAAATTTAACCATTTGGTATAGCTTCAAAAGAAATGAAAGCAATATGCTTTGAAAACATTATAAATGGTTGCTCTAAGTCTCTCATTATATTGAATACGATCTTAGTCATATTAGTCTTTAGATTATTGACTTGAAAATATTCATAACATAAGTACTCAGATTTGATATTAATGATGGAAAATAAAGAATGAAATCTATAAAATTTATATGATTCATACAAGCACGGATTTTACATACGGGTGATAACTTTTTTAAACTTGAAACAACCATCCATGTGTGAAATAAAAAGCTCAAGGCTCAACTTATCTAAAATGTTCTAGCTCCATAAATTTGCTTAAATAAAGAATGAACAAATTTTGTAACATTTATCATCTTAATAAGGTGGAAAAACAAAGACTTTCCTAACCAAAATTTGAATAGTGGAAGGACTTCTTATGTATTTACATATTTCCATTAAAGATACTTGTTCAAGGTTATATGTGATACCCAACCTCTTGGTATATAATTGATGCTCTATTGGCACAACTAGGCACAATCATATTCATAGAAAATCACCACTAAAAAAACCTTCAATTTTCCATTTTTAGTGTCACCTTTTTCTTGTGTTCTTGAAAGAAAATATAAAAAGTAAAGGATGACTTGGCTAATTGGTTCAACAAAACTAGAGACTTGGCTAACGTAATGGGTTGATGGCAAGATCTTAACTACCATTGTTACAGGTCTACTTCTTTCCCTTTTCTATCAAATATTTACAATTTCTGGAATTCTTAGATCATTATGCTTCAAGATTTCATCTGGGGTTTTTGTTTATTGTCCATTAGAACACTAGTAAATACACGAAGTTTGGAAATCTTAATTTTATCAATTGTTTGATTGGTTTTAAATGATTGAAGTTTGTACATGAGTGGTTTAATCTAGTTGGTGTTCAAAACTTGTAAAAGGGTTGGTAATTATTTGCGTGATGCATCAATAACATACTATCAAACGTCTTCACATGAAGGACTCAATTTCAATCACGACTAATGTTTTTAGGTTCAACAGAACTAGAGACTTTGGGATCTGAAAAGCAAGTTAATTATGTATGGGATGATGTATCTCATCCTCATAAGCAAGTCATCCAAATTAGTGCTAAAGCATTCATTATCATTTCGTGTAACACCCTACTATAAAAAAAAAGGAAAATGTGGATTTTGGTTCTGTTTGATGCGGTCCAGTGTATAATAAAACTATAAAACTCATTATTCTTAAAAGACAGCTGACAACATAATTATCAATAGAGTTTTCAAATGTGGATTTGGGTTCTGTTTGACGGGATCTTAAACGGTCTCTTATAATATTTTAACATGTACACAACTTCATTTAGACCCACATATCATACCATGTTGAGCAAAATAATACCAAGTTTTTTAGAAGAAATCATAAAAGCCAACACATTACACAATACACACCCAACACTATTTATAACAAAAATTAGCCTACTAATTCCCCCCCCCCCCCTCCTGTAACAACCCGAAGTTTTCCATCGTCGAAAACTTGTTCTACCCGTGAGATTTCGCCGTTAGTCGATTCGTTTCGTTCTCATTTTGGGTTAAACTAATTAAAATTATATGTTTATATTATAATTGAATGAGTGTCCAAACCCCTTAGGAACTCATGAAATTAACCCAAAAGTGTTTATTTCAAAAAGTTAGAAACATTCCCGCCGGGTGACGGTAACTTAATCGGGCGCGACCAAAAGCCTTGTTTAATGCCGATATCGGGTAGAATTCCACCGTGTCCAAAACTTAGACACTATTTAAAGTGATCTAAGCACTCATTTGAAGCTTTTTCTTCCTCTCCCTACTCTCTCTCTAACCTCTCTCCTAAATCCAAGTTTAAAGGTCCAAATCATCAATTTTAGGCTCCAAATCTTTGAGGTACTTCCCCTAGCTTGTTATGTAACATCCCTAGCCTTCAAATTCGAGTCCAACACATGGGTTAGGGCCATATTCATGAGTTTACAGCCATGGAACCATCCTAGGCCGTAAACTCATATAACATGGGTTTTGGAGCACAAAAACCCTTCCTAAACACAATTGGACCTTAGATACGGCTAGATGGCATCATGGAATGGACTTGTAACATTTTAATCTTGGATTTCGAGTCATTTGAAGGAGTTTACGGCCAAGGCACAAGCTTGGGCCATAAACTCATGTAAATGGGGTTTTCATGACCTTAAACCCTTTCAAATCACAAACAAGACTTAGATATGACTTATAGAATATTGGTAATGGACCTAGAACACCTTGAACATAATTTTTGAGGGGATTGTGTGAGTTTACAGCCAAGGCATGTTCTTGGGCCGTAAACTCCTTAAACTTGGGTGTAAACTCACTTCTAAGGTGTTAGAAAGCCATCCAACACCACCAAAAGCCTTGGAATAAATCATAGGACCAACCAAAAATAGTTTAAGGACCTTAAACACATCAAAACCCCACAATTGAGAGTTTATGGCCATAGAACATGTCTCATGGCCATAAACTCCTAAAAGTGTGTCAATTGGTGCCCCAAACTCATTTCTAGGCTTGTGGGAATTTTTAGAATCACATGTGATTAATTTTAAGACCTTAAAAACACTTAATCAAGGGGATATGAGAGTTTACGGCCAAAGACCCCATGTTTAGGCTGTAAACTCGCTTAAGTGTTGCAAATGGTGATTTTAATCCATTCCAAGCCTTAGGTAAAATCATTCCAAGCATTTCCAAGTGTCCATATCCATTTGTGACCCAATTTGCACTATAAATCACCCCACCATGAGTTTACGGCCGTAAACTCATGGGGAGTGGGTGATTAGGCCGAAAACTCCATTAAGGAGTTTACTCTTGGGGAGTAAACTCATTTCCCAAGTCCCCCGCATCGTTACACATCCTTAAACGCCACCCAGGTCCCTCCAAACGCTTGTAATGAAGCGTTTTCGCGATTAGAAGCATATGTCCCTAACAAATAAATAATTTAAGTCCTAATTAGATGAAAATGTGTATCATTTGATAATCCATAGGAATCTTGTGAGTTTGCAAACCCAGAACCAACGTTTAGAATCCAAACCGACGCGTTCTCCAACCGGTGAGTTCATACCCCTACCCTTTTTCAACTGTTTTCACTGTTTTCAGGGGGGAATACAAGCAAAAGTACTAGGAAATTTTGTACTCAAACTTATTGTTTTTAGTTTAATCTTTTTCATTCTGTATGTTCTAATATCAATAACTGTGTTTATCAAATAGTTCAAATTACGAATTTAGCTATCAAACTAATCATAGATTTCTTGATAAAATGTTCTAATCTAAACTATGTTTCATAATCTACGAATAATTTATACTAATTTCCAATTATAACTAATTCGAATACGAATACGAATACGAATACGAATACAAAACGATAACTAGGAATAGAACGAATACGAAACTATAACTAGGAATAGAACGAATACGAAACTATAACTAGGAATAGAACGAATACGAAACTATAACTAGGAATAGAACGAATACGAAACTATAACTAGGAATAGAACGAATACGAAGCTATAACTAGGAATAGAACGAATACAAAGCTACAACTAGGAATAGAACGAATACAGAAGTATAACTAGAAATGGAACAAATAGGAATACTAAAATAATAATATGAATACGAATACGAATACGAATAGTATTAGGAGTAGGATTAGGGATAGGAACACAACTGCGAATACGAATACGAATACGAATACGAATAGTATTAGGAGTAGGATTAGGGACAGGAACACGACTGCGAATACGAATACGAATACTATTAGGATTAGGAGTAGGGATACGAATACGAATATGAACAGGACTACAAATACAACTACGAATAAAAATATAAATTAAAAACTATGAATACAATAAAGAATAGGAATATGAATACGAAGACATGTATCTAGGTACACCCCAGTGTAATACCTTTAGGA